CATTTGTCTGATTCTGTGATTAGGAAAGTAGGAGAAACTAGTACTGCTGTAGAACTTTGGACTGCCTTAGAAAAACATTATCTCACAAAGACTGTACCAAATAAGTGTTTTCTATGGAGACAATTCTTCAGCTTTAAGTTTGACCCTAACCTTGAAATAGAAGATAGCATGGATAAATTCAATAGGATCACACAAGACTTAGTGAACTGTGATGAAAAGATATCTGATGAATAAAAAGTTGTTGGTCTACTTAATGCTTTAGGAGATAAATATAAAGATATAAGAAACGCCCTAGAGTATGGTAGGAGTGATCTCACTGTTGAAATAATCCACAGTTCTCTCCTAAGTAGAAAACTGGAATCTAAATCTGAACACAAAGTGGTGTTCAATACTATGGGTGTGCAATCAAACCAAAAGATCCACATGAAGGGTGTGAGTAATTTCAGTCATTCTAATTTTAACAAGGATAAAAATTTCATCAAAAGAAAATGGAGTAACACAAGAGTTAAGGACAAGAAACCAAATAAAGGAAAACCAAACAACACAAACAATAGAAAATGCTTCTACTATGGTAGGACTGGGCACTATATAAAGGACTGTTTCAAAAAGGCCAATGATCAAAGAAATGGGTCTAACACTGAAAATGCTTCTTTAGCCATTGCTGCTAATCAAAAAGAAGCTGGAATCAATAATGGGGTTGCCTATGTGTCTGTAACTGAAAGAAGTAATCAGGATTGGGTCCTAGATTCAGGATGCTCTTTCCATATGACACCCACTATTGGCTGCCTCTCAGACTTTTGTAGTCTTGATGGAGGATTGATAAAACTTGGAAATGACGAGTCATGTCAAGTAAAGGGTGTTGGCAATGTGTTACTGAAACTCAAAAATGGTCATCACATGTTGTTGAAACATACTAGATATGTGCCAGCACTTCGAAGAAATCTCATATCCCTAGGAGTTCTTGATGATGAATATTATCAAATTGAAATAAAGAATGGTTTTACAAATATAAAAAGAGATCAGGAACTAATTGTTAGTTCACCCAAGTATAATGGGATTTATATATTAGGTGCTGAAATAATCTCACCTAATAATGCTGTGAATTTTGTCACACATCCCGATAAATCAGAATTATGGCATAAAAGACTTGGCCATTTAGGTGAAAAAGGTTTGAAAAATCTATCACATCCAGGGGCATTTGGAAGAGACAGCGTTCAAAAACTAACCTTTTGTGAACACTGTATAATGGGAAAGCAAGTCAGACTGCCTTTTAAGGTAGGGCTGCACAAATCCCAAGATGTCCTTGAATACATACATTCTAATTTATGGGGACCTGCACCTGTTTCAACTATCTCTGGTTATAGATATTATCTTCTTATCACTGATGACTATTCCAAAAAAATATGGATTTTCTTATTAAAATCTAAGTCTGATAATTTTGCAATTTTCAAAGAATGGAATGTATTAATTGAAAATCAGACTGGTAAGAAGATAAAATTTTTAAGAACTGACAACGGTCTTGAATTTTGTAACACAGAATTTGATCAGTATTGTGGAAAACAAGGGATTATGAGACATAGAACTGTAATCTATACCCCTCAGCAAAATGGAGTTGCTAAGAGGTTAAATAGAACCATTCTTGAGAGGACCAGATGTATGTTAATTAGTTCTGGCCTACCAAAAGTCTTCTGGGGAGAAGCAGTAAAAACTGCATGTTATCTAATTAATAGATGTCCATCTAGCTTTTTGAATAATCAGATTCCTGAACAAATCTGGTCTGGCACAATGCCAAATTATTCCTACCTAAGAACTTTTGGATGTGCAGCTTATGCACATCACACTGAATCAAAACTGGATCCTAGATCTCTGAAGGGTGTGTTCTTAGGATATGGAGAAGGTGTTAAAGGGTATAGACTGTGGTTAAAAGATGTGAGAGGTTATAAAGTGATAATAAGTAGATCTGTTATTTTTAACGAAGATGTCTTTCCTTGTCTTAGTGACAAATCTGATGAAAGATTAGGAAATGATGATTTTGTTATCACAGAAATCAATTTTGATACCCAAAACATAAATGACCAGGCTCAGTTTGAGGTAGAGCCACATCAGGTGGAACCACAGATTACTATAGATGATGATATCCCTGAAAATGAGCAATGTTTGGAGCCTGCACATGACCTGCAGGACTACCAGCTTGCTAGGGACAGAGATAGGAGGCAAATCAGGCCTCCTACTAGGTATCAATATGCTGATTTTGCAACTGATCAGTCCGAGTCTGATTTGTTTGATTCAGAACCTACCTCTTATGAAGAGGCTATCTCCTCTAAGGAATTCCCTAAGTGGAATGCTGCAATGAAAGAGGAAATGAACTCCCTCTATAAAAATCAAACCTGGATTTTAGTTGAAAGACCAAAAGATTGCAAATTGATTGATTGTAAGTAGGTCTATAAGATTAAAGAAGGTGAGATTGAAACTAGTGATAAAAGGTACAAGGCAAGACTTGTAGCAAAAGGCTTAAATCAAAGAGAAGGGATAGACTACACTGAAATTTTTTCACCGATTGTTAAATATACATCCATTAGAATCCTACTTGCCTTAGTGACACAGTTTAACTTGGAGTTAGAACAACTTGATGTGAAAACTGCTTCTTGTATGGTTTTTTGGATGAAACCATACATATGACTCAACCAAAGGGTTTTGAAGTAAAAGGAAAGGGGAACTTAGTGTGTCTCTTAAAAAAATCCTTGTATGGCCTAAAACAAGCTCCTAGGCAGTGGTATAAAAGATTTGACTCGTTTATACAAGGTTTAGACTTTAAGAAATTTGAATATGATCCCTGTTTTTATTTTAAGAAAGATGGTAAATCTGAATTTTTCTATCTTCTCTTGTATGTTGTTGATATGCTCCTAGCTGGACATAATTCTGTTACACTCAATCAAATTAAAGAAAATCTGAAATCTGAATTTGAAATGAAAGACCTTGGACCAGCTAGAAAAATTTTGGGCATGGAAATAAAAAGGGATAGAATAAATGGAAAATTGTTCCTAACTCAAAAATCTTATATTGATAAGGTAGTAAAAAGATTTTCTCTTCATGATTCTAAACCTGTTAGTCTACCTCTATCTTCGTGCATGAAACTATCTGTTAATCACTCACCAAAAACTGAAGAAAAACATAATAGGATGATGAATGTTCCATACTCTAATGCTGTTGGATCTGTTATGTATATTATGGTATGTACTAGACCTGATATTGCTTTTGCTGTGAGTGTGTTAAGCAGACTTATGAGTAACCCAGGTGAAATACATTAGCAATGTATGAAAAATCTGATTAAATACTTAAAAGGTACTAGCCAATTAGGTTTAATGTTCAAAACTGATAAAAATGGACTTAAACTTAAGGGTTATGTAGATTCAGACTTTGCTGAAAATCCTGATAACAGGAAGTCCACAACTGCATATTTTTATGTCATTAATAACACATGCATTAGCTGGAAATCCCAACTTCAAAAACTGGTTGCATTATCTTCAACTGAGGCTGAATATATTGCTGCAACTGAGGCTGTTAAAGAGGGGTTATGGTTAAAGGGATTACTTGGTGAGTTAGGTCTTGTAGAAAATGAGGTGGAGCTATGTTCTGACAACCAAAGTGCAATTTTTCTAAGTAAAAATCCAATCTTGCATGATAGATCAAAGCATATAGATGTAAAGTTTCATTTTATTAGAGATATCATAGATAGAGGTGATATTAAATTGACAAAAATATCTATCAAGGTAAACCATGCAGATGCTGGAACCAAGGTAATTCCTATCAATAAGTTTGCTGATTCTTTGAGATTAATAAATCTTGAAGAAGGCTAATTCTTTTTATTTTTGCAGGTAATAAGAGCAAATGAAACAAATGATAAGTTCTTGAATCCACAATGGTGCAAGCAAATAGCAAAGGTGGAGATTGTAAGTTTTTGGTTGCTGTTTGTGTGGGATCAGCCCATTTAAAAGCTGGAGGCCCAACAAGAAGTCAGACCCGCCCAATGTTCTAATATAACAAAGGCGTGTTTCTAACAAATTACAAGTAACGTTTCTTCTAGGATGATGACACTTGGCAAAAATAAAACCGTTGGATGGAGAAGTGATCATTTTCACACATATTAGGGTTAGAAACTTGTAGGGTTTTACTTTCATTTTCTCGAACAGCTTCTAGAATTCTCTATTCTCTCTCTGTAATTTCTTTCTTTGTGAATCTCTGAAATCGTGTGTAATTTTTGAGAGTTTGAGAGTTGATGAACTCTTGTGTGAGTCCATCCTGTTTGTAACAAGGCCATGTGTTGGCCGTGAACTGAACTCTACGTTCTGTGTATTGTTGAAACTGTTCTTTGCCGATTTTTTTAGTAGATTCGAGTTTATTCCTTTGTGGATGCTCAACGGGGATTAGACAACTGAGAAGTTGTTGAATCTCGGGGCTTAGGCCGAAAAATCCCTGTGTTCTTATTTTTGTGTTTTTCAGATCTACACTTGATCTTGTATATTTTTGTGATTTCTTGCGTCTTTGACTTCGATTCTGAACCTACAGAATGTTTCTTTATTATAGAATTATTTATTGTCGAACTGGGATTACTACAATAAAACTCGTCACAATTATGAAATAATCAACGAACTTCTAATTCTGATATTTACAAATTAATGCAATTTTTCTACAAATGATTCAAGCAGTCAGAGATTAGTAACTATATATTCGAGAAGTTAAAAATAAATATACAAGTAGAAAACTATGTTATATATGGAATTTTCTTCGTTTATATAGTTATTCATTATATGCGGCCTCTCAAAAACAAAGGACAGATACAAAAGTTAAACTATTCCAACATAAACAATTAATTCCAGACATAAATAATGTAGTATTTTCACTTGGTGGGATTGGAATTTTTTTTATTTAGGTTTTAACTGAGATTATTTAATGTGTAGTAAATGGTAAATACTAAGCTATATATATTGGGGTACAAGGCTTGGTAGCAAAAGCCAAAACCCAAAGATGGGAACAAAAACAAAAGTGTCTACAATGGCGTCTTTCATTGCCACTCTACTAGTGGCAATAGTTGCACTATGCTTCCCCTTGGAGACAAATGCCAATTACTATTATTCGTCTCCGCCACCACCAAAAAAATTACATCCACCATCATCTCCACCACCTCCACCCAAGAAGCCATATGTTTATAAGTCACCACCACCACCACCACCACCACCGGAGAAGCCGTATGTGTACAAGTCTCCACCACCGCCACCGAAGAAGCCATATGTGTACAAATCACCTCCACCTCCTCCTCCTCCTAAGAAGCCATGCAAGTCTCCACCATCACCTCCACCACCCAAGAAGCCATATGTGTACAAATCACCTCCACCTCCTCCTCCTCCTAAGAAGCCATGCAAGTCTCCACCATCACCTCCACCACCCAAGAAGCCATATGTGTACAAATCACCTCCACCTCCACCTCCTCCTAAGAAGCCATATGAGTACAAGTCTCCACCTCCACCACCCAAGAAGCCATATGTATACAAGTCACCTCCTCCCCCACCGAAGAAGCCTTATGTGTACAAATCACCTCCACCTCCACCCAAGAAGCCATATGTGTACAAGTCTCCACCTCCACCACCCAAGAAGCCATATGTATACAAGTCACCTCCTCCCCCACCGAAGAAGCCTTATGTGTACAAATCACCTCCACCTCCACCCAAGAAGCCATATGTGTACAAGTCTCCACCTCCACCACCCAAGAAGCCATATGTATACAAGTCACCTCCTCCCCCACCGAAGAAGCCTTATGTGTACAAATCACCTCCACCTCCACCCAAGAAGCCATATGTGTACAAGTCCTCACCTCCACCACCCAAGAAGCCATATGTATACAAGTCACCTCCTCCCCCACCGAAGAAGCCTTATGCGTACAAATCACCTCCACCTCCTCCTATGAAGCCATATGTGTACAAGTCTCCACCTCCACCACCCAAGAAGCCATATGTATACAAGTCACCTCCTCCACCGAAGAAGCCTTATGTGTATAAGTCCCCTCCTCCACCTCCTCCAAAGAAGCCCTACGTGTACAAGTCCCCACCACCGCCACCACCTCCCAAGAAGCCCTACGTGTACAAGTCCCCTCCACCGCCACCTCCAGTTTACAAGTACAAGTCTCCTCCACCACCTCCTCCAGTGTACAAGTCTCCCCCTCCTCCTCCAGTGTATCACCCACCACCCCACCATTACTACTACAGTTCGCCTCCTCCTCCTCCTTACCACTACCACGAATCAGACACCAGATTCTAAGGTATACATTTCATTTTAATTTCTCCTAAAATAAGTAGTGGACTTCCAATTAAAACACTCCTCAGAAAACACTATTTGGATGTCTGATTTATAACAAAAATGATTTTCCACCAACTTATAATTACAACGATAATAGTTACTTATTCCTAACAACAGAAAGTATATGTACTCTTGCAGGGAATAAGAATGTTCAGCAAAAGAGTAGTTTCCGGACTGAAAGTGATGTGAAAGCGATGGAAGATGAAGAAGAAGAATAAAATAAGCTGCGAAGGAAAATGTGCTTCCTTATCCAGCATGCATGTTCTCTTTCAGATAGTTTTACAGTGTGTTTTATTTACCAATTTCCCATATATATATATATATATATATATATATTTCGTAGTTGATTTCTGGGCGAATGCCTGAGGTTATTTGCAGCAATGCGTGTGCATTAAATTCAATAAAATATCAATGTTTCAGATCTATTATTCGTCTTCGAATTTGAGGTTCAACTTCGTATCAGAGTGGGCAAAAAACCTTATAAAAAAAATTCTACACAGATCGGACATCAAATTATTATTATTATTGTTAATGACAAAAATTTTGAATCCATATAAATATTAGAGTTAACTGATTTAGCCCTGGTGTAGCTAAAACGTTGATAAAAATTACAAATTAAAGTTAATAATTAATTTTAATCACGCATTCTAAGAAATCCACAATATTATGAACTTTTTAACTACATATTTCATCAATTTTATTTTTTAATCAAAATCTACTAAACTTAATCCAATCTTTAGCTACTCCCAACATGGCTTAATTAACCTACAACAGAAATAATAATAATGAAGTCAATATTCCAGTATGGGGGTTCGATTCCTGAAACATGGAATTGGAATTTTTGCAGGCGTAGTATACAGATAGTTCTTGTTTCCTGACCTGTTAGAGCACATCTCATGATTTATCTTCCTCACAAAGATCTAGGAGTGGGGAGGTGGAAATCCTCAAAGTTGGAGTTCAACCTTTAATAATGAAGTCAATATCCTATGAGTTGGAAGCAATTATTAATTAAGTTAATTGAGCAACTAGCATGGCTCGTTAATCGAGCCAATTCATGGTTTTGTGGATAAAGTCGTATGCGTGTCGTCCACTTTGAATATTTATTGTCTAACAACTTGCCTAAATTGCTTTTTCCAACAAATATTGCCAATAATTACAAACATCTTTTCCTCCAAGAAAATTCTAACTCGAATAGGGTAATTTGTGTCAAACTTGAGACGTGTTAACTACAACGAAGTCCCCTTGATAATGATTTTAATTATTGCAGAATGTTAACTATGATAGAACGAGACTCGTAATAATGCTCTCATATTATAAAAATTAGAACGATAACAATTGTTGTGATCATAATTAAAAATAAATCATCATTGAATTTAACATACTCTACATGGGATTCACAATTTTTATTAACTTTTCAACCATACATTTCATTATTTTTTCAAAATTTAATGAAAATCATAACTTTTGAGAAAACCAAACTAGGAATTAACCCTTTTTTTCAAGAACAAAGAATTTTGCATGGAAGGTTATGTGCTATAAGGTCAAACCAATAAAGCCCACAAGAAATCTCTTCATCATCAGTCATATGAATTAAAGCATATACTTACGATATAGGGTTTGGATTCTAATTAAAATTTAAAAATTGTAAGATGTTTCAACATGTTCATACGTAGTGTTAATCAAATCATATAGCGTCATATAAATAAAAATAATAATCTTGATTAATTAATTTGTTAAAAGAAAAGAGAAAAAAAAAACAAAAGATTGGAGAAGTATGCAATAAAGACAAGCATATGAGAATGAATTATTGATATATAGGGGTCCACATATTTTCAATCAATGGAATAAACCGAAATGAACTGATTTTTATTTTTAAAATGACACATATATTTTGGCATTTTATAATTTTAAATTTGAAATTCTTGTTTGCAAAAACGTAAGCGGTCCACCTACTCCAATTTGAATTATCTTTTCAAATAATTTAATTTTTTATGCGACCTTTTTCTCGGATGTTGCTAGTAAAGGTTTTGGAATTTTGAATTACTTGAAAGTAATTTTATTTTAAAAAACAGTAAACTTGAATTTAAAAAAAAAAAGAAAAAGGAGAAAAATTATAGTCTATCAATCAAGCATATTTACTTAAAATTAAAAATAGGATTCAAGTGATATAAATAAATACGAAGCTTGCTACACTTCCAAGTCTTCATTTCACAGAAGCCTTATAGGCTTCTCACAGTGAACAAGATCAACATTGTCTTTGAAATTTTTTATTTCATGGGGTCCGGCATGAGATCACTTTCCTTGTGAGTGTTCTCTGAACTCCCTGTGAGAAGTCCCCTCTACGTGTATGTTTATTCAATAAATACTCGATAAGAAAATTATAATTGATTGTAAGTATAAAACTAACAAGAAGGGAGCTTAATAAAATGTAGCATCATGAATAAAACCACCAACCTAAATTTAGATAAAATTGGAACAAGTGGGAATGATATTCACCTACCAAATTTCTTGTCCGAGTAACATTTGTTTGAAATTTCACAAAAAGTCCTTACATTTCATTTTTTTAACATTTTCATCCCTATTTTCACATTTTCATTGTTGAAAATGTCATTTTCATCAAGTTTCTCAATAAAAATATAAAATGACAAATATACCCTCCCGAAAAAAAAAAAAAAAAAAAAGAGAAGAAAAATTAAGAACAAATTGCTATCATAATCCCAAACTTTTAAAAAAATTACAAATGAGTCCAAATAAATCATTTAAAAAGACAATTAGCACAAAACATCCATAGGTTTCAATATTATTGTGCAAAACTTCCATATCTTTCATTTTTTCATCCTTGTTTTCACATTTTATTGCGAAAATCATCATTTTCATCAATTTTTCAATTGAATATTATAAAATGACAAATATACCCTTCTATTTAAAATAAAACAAAAATAAAGAACAAATTGCAACTATACTCCCAAATTTTATTTGTACTTTTGTATAGTTCTTTATTTTTCCTCTCTTTATTTTTGTTTTATTTAAATAGGAAGGTATATCCGTCATTTTATAACATTTAATTGAAAAAATGGATGAAAATGATGATCTTCACAATAAAATGTGAAATAACGACAAAAAAAGTAAGGACGTTTTGTGCTAATTACCATTTTAATAATTTATTTGGACCCATTTGCAATTTTTTAAAAAGCTTGGCAGTATAATTACAATTTTTTCTTTAATTTTTCTTTTCACTTTTTTTTTTTTTGGTTTTATTTATAAGGGAGTGTATATTTATCATTTTACATTTTTTTTAAAATTGAGAAATTGGATGAAAATGACATTTTCCACAATAAAATGTAAAAATATAGGTAAAAAAGCCAAAAATGAAAGGTTGGGACACTTTTTGCACAATAACATTGAAAGGTAATAACGTTTTGTGCTAATTACCCGTATTAGCAATAATCCTCGAAACGTTACAAATTTTGTCGTAAATTCAGATGACTTTTAATGCATTTCTTGTCTTCCAATTTTCTTGAGAAGGACCACTTTCAAACTAGTATATCAATCAATCCTTTATAAGTTCGTCATCATGTAATTTCCACGATAATTTCATATTTTGTATACAGTGAAAATATTTAAATAATTTAATTAACGCTTTTCCTTCATAAGCTTTAACTATGATTCTACACACACACACACACACTTCAATGTAACGGTAAGTTTAATGTACTTACAAGTGAGCGCTGTAAATATATTATCGAATATATTCACCCCTTTTCTTCTATAATAAGAAAATGTTAACCAATGAAGATTTTGATCCATTTTTTCAGATACGTACCTGCTTATTTATTTATTCTCAAATAATAATATGAAGAATTATAATAAGTCCACGCATAATGAGGAAATAATATGTGATTTGGGTCCCAAAATCAACCTCGGTGGACCATTGGCCTATAATTTCAATCAAATGACGAGGACATGCAAAAATATGAAATTTAATCAACAATTGAATGTTGAAAAGTATGCTCGTAGAAAATGGAGTCTACCAACTAAGATATAGACACGCATAGACGAGATTATCTTGCAAAGCTGAGATTGCACTATAATTAATGACTTAATGTCTAATGAATAGATGGTCCATGTATTTTGCTACTTGTACATAAAAGATATACATAATGATTTACATAATATGATGTGGAGGGAAAAGATTGGATGAAAAAGTTGATTATATTTTAAATTGACAAATTGTAAAGTGTCATGTTGCATTATGTAATTAATTATGTAAATCTTTAGATACATGTAGCAAGATTCGACGGTCTATAGTTAAATTGCTCGAAAAAATCTATGGAGTAAATCCTAGCTAAGTGATTTCAATTTTATCACGTCTAAATCATGACATGAAATATAAAATTGAAAAAGAAATATTAATTTTACTAAGTCACTCCAACTAAGTAAACATCTAAATATAGATGAACTTCTATACAATGTCAATTTTTTGGCCTGTCATGTCTGCTTGACCAATTTCTTATTAAAAAAAAAAAGGTTGAGCCCCAACCTTGAGGGTTCCCACCGTCCCGCCGATAGAACCTTGTGAGGGGAGTAAATCACGGAATATGCTCCAGCAGGTCAAGAAACAAGAGCCGCTGTACATTAAGCCTATAATAAGTCCAATTTCACATCTCAAGAATCGAACTCTCACACTGCGACTGCCAGCAAGGCGTGAGATAACCTCATTCATTTTCTTTGCAACACTGGGCTATGCCCCGAGGGGCTGACAAATTTCTTATTAGCTTGCATTGAAGATGTTCTTTTTACAATATCATCTATTTTTACTAGCGTGACAAAATTTTGAAACAGTTAAATGTTGCATTGGCGGTACTCTAATCCCAAGCAAGAGAGTACAAGATAATATATTAGCATTTCAGGTGTGTTATAGCAACAATAATATTAATCTGATCTCTATCCCCTCCCCACGCACCCCAGCCCAAAAAAAAAGAAAAAGAGGACATTCTTATTAGTTACTGTCATAATGTGACAATTTAATTCGCCATGCATGAATGTCCTGTGAATAGCACATTCCAATATTTGTATGAAATATAAATTTGTAAAAGTTCAAATACAACACACAAAAATGCTTAGGAATTTATTCATGCACGACATGTTAAATTATAGAGTCTAATTATTATCACTATGTGGAGTCAATCAAGCTCTCTAATGAGGTTGTCGTTGAGGTTAGGAAGGGGGTAGAAAGCCGCCCACCAAGGGAACGTAAGGGATGATGTTCTCGGATCTAAAATATCATTGAGGTAGTTTAAGAATTTCGTAATTTTAATTTTGATTTTGCCTTGAGTTGTCTTATATATAGAAGGTTATTATTAGGATTCAATTATCACCATTAGAGAGAAAGACGTTAGAGAAGATAGGATGTGCAATTTTCCCTTATAAAACTTCTTTTCATCATAATAAATTCCCATTGATGCAAATCTCAATAAAGAAGCTTGCGTATTCTCATGTGTCTACTTATTTTTCTACAAATTAATTGCTCTCGGTGGAATGGAATTATGGCTTCTAGTTCTCAACACGACGATATAATTGGGTTCTTTGTCCATGTATATACAATGTTCTACCTGAACTTCCCAGAGGAACTCATCAAGATCACAGGAAGTGCAATTATATGAGAGCACTTTAGTGGGTGTTTTACCTGGGTTGTGACTACCTGTGACTTTTTCTTCCAGTAAACAATCTCAAAGGTCTCACTCTGTAAAATAATGATACACATCAGTATCAAACCCTCATAAAGAACTTTCCCTTCAACAAAACAAATAAAGCAATCAACGATCAAGATAAGAAACATGAGCCGAGTTCTATACTGAAGCAGCAAATATGAGATGGCAGAACTACTATGAAACTGTGTTGCCTGTACATATTTCAAAAATCGCCACAATACATTAATGACTCAACATCATCACCATTTTACATATCATGAACATGTTCAAAAAGTTTCAAATCTTATTGGGAAAGTTAACTCGGGGAATCAAAGTGCATACACGCCAGCATATTCTATGTTAAATTAGACAGGAAAAATTATATGGAGATGTGCAAGAATGTCGAACCTCAGTTACAGACTCAGGGTGCCACCCATCTACACATTCCAGTACCCACGTCGTCATCTCATCTTAGACCTTATTTGGAACCGAGAGGAACACCAAAATCTAACTTTTCAACAAACTTGAGACAAATGATTCATCTAAAATGAAGAGAATAATATTGACTTGGAGGGGCGAATTGCACATGAAAGTTCTGCACGAAATAAGAAATTGAACATATTACCTACCTAAAAGGATGTTTAAATACTTTAGAACTTAGAGCTTAATTATTTAGACCACCCTATATCACAACTTAGAGCTCATTATAGATTGTCATGCCAAAATATTCATACTATTCTTCACCATGAAACCTGCCACCACCAAAAATAAAAAGGAAAAAAACTCAAAAGTCAAAGCTCTTAAATCTTCTCAACTCAGAGATTCACTAAAATATCAGCGATGGAATTTCAGATTAACTTTTTTCTTTAATGATAATGCAGTCTTCATTATTTAATTTATTTTCCAATCTAGACCTGCGACAAGAAGTTACCCCTGTTGCTCAGAAAACAGGAAGCTCAACTGCAAAAGACATGCAAGACTCTTTTAAGTGACATCAGAAGTTATTAAGCTGGTAAACACTTTGGAAAAAATAAAAAAAATCTCATTTGTAGATGTTGAGACTACAAAAGAAGGAAGTATGAATCCTTGCATAGTATCACTAGCTTGTACAAATTCATTTCTTTAATCAAGTAAATAAAATCAACTATAACCTGTTAATCAGTTTAAGTTAATTGCCCTAGGTAAAGCACGTGAAATAACTAAACAACCAAGAAATAAACAAGAGATCCAACTCTAAGACTAATGCTTCAGGAACACGGAAGTCCCCATATTCAGCCAATGCAAGTGAAATAACTAAAAACCAAGAATTGACTGAGAGATCCGACTCTAAGATTAATGTTTAATGACATGAAAAATTCCAACACAGAAACAGCACATCACAAAGAGAAGCACTTGGTTCAGTCTTAACATCAAATGCTATCTACCATAAAAGTCTGGACATAAGAATCTAATTTCTTCATGAAAAATGCAGGTGTACATCTCAGTTTGCCATAAATAAGAAGGTGAATAGGAACTGACAAAATTGACCACAAGCTTTTAATTTTACTGTTTACCAACATAAAATATTTATCAATTTGAATTTCTAAGGTATATTTTGCATAAAATTATAAAGGGAAAGAAATGATTTTATGACCACAGTTAAATCATAAAATTGCATCAGTGACTTGATGTATCTGAATACACTATGACAGATAAAGTAGAGTTGAAGATAATGATATTAGTTGGGTGACAAAATCGAAAGCAATTGAAATCGAGTTTTGAGGTATAGGCGTGCAGATCTATCCTTGTTGACAAAATGCCAGTTCTAAAAGCATCTCACCATCAAGCATATACTAATCCAGCACGAATCATCAATTGGCATTTGACTGATTTTATCTTCTGCAAGATTGCAAACTTCACATTAATATCAGACTCAGCTGCAACAGAAAGATCTTTAGTTTTGCAAAAGAAAATCTTTTCAGCATGGTGCAATATTGACAACGGCAAATCCTGACAAGGCCCTCAAACCATATTTCCGTAATAGCTTTTGCTGACATTCTTCTCATCTTTTCTTACAGCTCCAGAACAAAACTAGGATTTCTCGGGAAAAAATGATAGTTAAAAAATAACAAAAGGTGCAAATTTCTACTTCCTATATATAAGTTCGCATAACATCATGAACCAAAGCCAAACAAATTTTACTCATGATTTTTACTTAGAATTTGTAGAGAAACCTATGAATGTGATTAGATCTACACTTCTTAAAATCAGGATTTTGATTCTCAATTGACAATTGTACTGTCCCAATTTGACGCATACGACCAATTACTATTTATTTGACTTAAATTAATAGAATCATAATGACCATGCAACAACACAACTTCAATATACAATGCAATCAAGCGTTTCCAAAAACATAAACTTCAACTTTCCAGAAAAGAATATTCAATATTCCCCAGGCCAAAAGATTCCTTACAAATTTATACCGTCTATCTAAATAGACCTGACAAATAATTCCACAATAATGACTATCATTCCTACAAAGTTCCTAAGAGTTGCAACTTGCAACGTACTTAGAATATTGTAAAACTCAAGCAACCCCTCTGAACACAATACTCATTAGCGACATCCATATTCAAAAAATACATAGATGACAACATGTATCATAACATGCAATCAAGTAAAGAAGCTTATGTAACTTTTACTAAAACAAATTTCATGTAACGCGCAAAAAACAAACTGTTCACTTCATTCATTGAGCAATTCAAAGCACAAATGCAAAAACACAATCAAAGCCTGATCATTACACTGAAATATAAACAAGATTTTAAATTTGTTTTAAATTATGTCATCCTATATTCCAATTCAATTAAGATACCACTAAATTATTGCTCCTCCTCATCTATGGCACAACATCAAGCCTTGCCTCGAATACAAATCCACGACAAACGCCATCTCCATTCCCAGATAAACCATCAATCCACCTCCATTTGGCTTTCCCATCTTCGCTTTCTTCCCAAAGAACCAACCTTCCAACCCTTTTAGCTGAAAAACACACCTTATTCCCACCGCCAAACACCTTAAATTTACTACTTTCCATGAAGCACCTGTACATTTCCTCCGGCATTCGCCCAACCTCCTCCCATTCCAGGCTCTCTAGGTCCAACCTCAATATCAAGATGGTTGTGCACGAGCTCTGTAGAGCAAACGAGCTTTTTAACCCTCCAACCATGTAAACTTTATTTTCATTCCTGGCCTTCACTAATCGCGGCCGCTTCAAAATGCCAAAAATATCGCCCCACTGCCTTTTCTCCACCCGAACCCACTGCTTCGTTTTCTTCATATCTGTTATTTTCGTCTTAAATATAGCCCACTGCGACCTCCACGGAGACCCCACATCACACAATGCCAAAATAAAATCGGATACCATAACAGGACTCCGCGGCTTTGACGGTAAGTTCGAGGTAAACTTGAGCCAATTACTCGAGACACCACCAGAATTCACATCCCCATTTTTAAAGTCGTTACCTTGAGAATAATACAGAATGGCAAGCTCTGTAAGAACAAAGACTGTACCCGAACCAGCTAAAACAGAACCGTGACGAGACCAAGCCGATCCAAGCTGCGGGAGGATTTTGAACTGGCGCGTTAAAGGGTTGCAAACCACAAGGGACTTTTGGGAAGAATTTTTCACAAGGGCAGTATTAGAATTTCGCAAAGGGGGTAGAGCAGCCCAGAGATAGAGTAGCCCATCTGAGGAAGTAATCGGATGGAGAGAAGAAGACGGAAGGAAAGATAGAGAGAATCTGAGCCACTGATTCAACGCAGGGTCAAAGGCATGGAGGTTCGGAAAGGGGGAAATATGGCGATCGGAAGGCTTGAGGGCGAGAAGGGAGAGGAAAGTGGGTTGGGTGGACAGAAGGTGGCGAAATGACGGCGAGGAGAGGGCGGAGGAGAGGGCTTTGCAGACACACTTACAGGCGGCGATTTGACGGAGGGTTAGTTGGAAAAAGATCTGGTGGATGGTCTCTTCCGGAAGACGATTGAGAGGAGAGGAGTCCATCGGCTCTTTGGCCAGCAGGTGTGGACGGAGAATCTGAGATCTGGTGGTTCGTAGGTAGAGCTGTTGATGACCTCAATCTTGAACCAGACCGCAGTAACGCTTTTAAGTCTGGACCATATACGTTTTTTGTTGAACTCTCTAGCGTGTACTGATCAAGTTATTCAACATTACAGCATGTTTGGCTAAAATTATAATTATAAGCAGCTTAAAAGGATGTTATCCATTCATTTAGGGTGTTTGATGGCAAGCATGAAACTTGTATAGATGAAGTTATTAATTAAATACGTTTGATTGTTTTAATTTTCAACTTAAAAATATATTATATTTGTCTATTTTTTGTAGTTGTATAGATGAGAGAAAGATGGTAAATACTAGACAGAGGGGAAGAGAGAGAGTGAATTGTTTGAAAAGTAAAATCTCTACATGAAGAAAATGTTTTCCTTATTTTTAAGGAAGACATGGTCACATGATGAACTTTTGAAAGATATTTTTCATGAAGAAAATATCAATTAAACATAAAAAAATATAGGAATTTTGGTGAAAAATGACATTTTCCATGAAAAATAATTTCGATGGAGCAGACCGTTAGAGTATTGTTGGTACGTTGTATTATGCTGATTCAAAAATTAATCCTTATGAGGTTAATTCGGAGTTATTATTTAGTCAAATGAATCAAATTAATACGCTTAGCCTATGGTAGGGATTAAAATTAGATATGTAGTAAATTTTGATAAAAAGTAGAGGAAATATGAAGTTGAAAAAATTGTGGATCCCATAAAATGCATAATTAAACTTAATATTTAACTTTAACTTAAATTAAAATCTTGAATTTAATTTCCATCAAATATGGGCTTAATGAAATGGGATTGGATGATTAATTATTTGCCTCAGATATTCTTTTAATCTCATGACAAGATCATTTCATTTGTTGTGCAATGGTCTTATTTATAGGCGATTTTTACCCTTTTTTTGAGTTGAGATTCTCAACTATTATGTTGTTAGCCATGATTAAATTCCATTTCAAAACTTGTTGCCTTACGCCACTGATGCTGTTAATCAATGTGTACATACAAGGGCTTAGTGCACAAACTTTGATGTTGATTTGTGAAAATTCTCATTGAGATTGCCATCCACGTACAAGGCTGTCCAAGGCCTTCAACCTTGTCTCTAGCTAAGGCCCTAATCATGTTTTTGACTAAGTATTTGTCCTCCTCAATTTCTCCGTTCAGTAAGTCTCAACGGCTGAGGCGTTCTCGAGTGGCCATCGATGATAGAAGTACAAATGTTTGTTTGAAGGACATGGGCACGCGATCGAACTTCTATATAACTGCTATGAAACTCAAGTAGACCATAGTAATTTCTATATGTAATATGCGGAAAAAATAAATTGCGAAGATGATTGGATTGATAACTCAAGAAAAGATAATTGGATTGACGACTTAGAAGAGGATATCGTGGTTTATGAAGAGTCTTTTTGGTGGACTCAGCAAATGAATAAATTACTAAACTTAGAAGAGGCGTTTGAAGAAGCATATTCCTTGGATACAACACAGAGAATGGAGCATACACAACATGGGTAGAATTGCTAGATTTAAAAGAAACGAAAGACAGATTGCAGGCGAAGATACAGATGTCCAACAAAGAAATTTTGAAGAATCTAAATATCTATAAATTTCAAGTGATAAAGAATTTAAAAGAGCAATACAGAATCCTGAAATATATGACGTGGTCCAGAAAAATGAAGGATCTACAGATTCAACAAGCAATTGAGGTACATACAAATTTAAAATCACTAATAAGAATATCAAGTGGACGTGAAATCAAATACCGAGTATCCTAATTTAAAAATCGATGAAGACGAAAGCATGAAAGAGTCAAATAAATTTGAAGTAGCCAAGGCATGGAATAAAGGATTGGACAATTCAAAATTGGTGGAGTTTCAAGCAACAATGGACGAAACTAAAATGAAGAGAGTTAAAATGAAAAGTTGATGTTGAATGGAAGAATTGATGATGTAGCACCGCCTTCTATAGAAATTTTTGGAGACTTCATATTTACTCCCATTTCTTGAAGCGAGCATGGAACATTCAGGAATAGTAGTTATTCACAGCCATTCTACAGAACTCCACGAGAATGCTGTAATGGAATAATCTAGACTTAATGAACCGACATTGCTTCCTATAAGTACATGTTAATCCTCTGCATCTTGCGAATTGATAGTGATAAGAGATATAGTGCATGAGAGAGACTGAAAAAAAAAAAAAAAAAAAAAAACTGCCGTAAGTTGTGAGTGGAAAGAGAGTATAAAATTGAGTGCTCCTTTATTAAACAATACTAGTCTTTGACACGTGCGTTGCACGAGTTTTGTATTTATTGTATTTTTATTAGCTTCAAAATTGTAAATTTTTCAAAATTGGTTGAAGATTCAAAGTATTTGGTGAAGTCTAATTGTTTGGTTCATTATTTTAGCGTAGGATGCATGGAGATTTCTTTTTCGTTTTATATTTTTTTCCTCATTTATTTATTTTTATTTGTTTTATTCATATTATAAATATTTTTTTTCGATTTAAAATACTTTTTAATTCTTTTTTCTTTATGAAAAAACTTAATTTTTTCAATTTTAATTAAAAAATATTTATACTGTAAGAAAACACTGCAACACTCAATTTCCATGCCTCCCAAAAAACTAAAAAATAAAGATAGTATAAGACAGAAAATATTTTACAAAAAGTTACTTGTAAGTAAAAAATTTGAAGGGAAAAGAATTAAAAAGAATTTTAAATTTAAAAAAAAATTATTTGTAACGTAAAACTATGATACTGATTTCTCTCGGCACCATATTCATATGTATTTATATTTTGTGCTTCATATATATTTAATATTTATTTTATGCTTATGTTGAAAAAATAAAAATCTGAATTTTTTTTTGAAATTCGATTTGGTAAGTGAATGTACGGTGTTCTGCATTCTCAGTATTTCTAAGTGCAAAAATCGGTATATAAAAATACAGCAAGTTGTAAATACGGTAGACAGCGTATACGGTAAGGTGAAAAAAGGTAAGTTGTTTACAAATACGGTAGGCTGCAAATACGGTAGGCAGCATATACGATAAGGTGCAAAATACGGTAAAGTGCAAATACGGTAAGTTGTTTGCAAATACGATAGACAACATACACAGTAAACTGCCTACAAATACGGTAAGCTGCATATATGGATTTATAATTTGTTATAAATGTATANCTCGGCACCATATTCATATGTATTTATATTTTGTGCTTCATATATATTTAATATTTATTTTATGCTTATGTTGAAAAAATAAATATCTGAATTTTTTTTTGAAATTCGATTTGGTAAGTGAATGCACGGTGTTCTGCATTCTCAGTATTTCTAAGTGCAAAAATCGGTATATAAAAATACAGCAAGTTGTAAATACGGTAGACAGCGTATACGGTAAGGTGAAAAAAGGTAAGTTGTTTACAAATACGGTAGGCTGCAAATACAGTAGGCAGCATATACGATAAGGTGCAAAATACGGTAAAGTGCAAATACGGTAAGTTGTTTGCAAATACGATAGACAACATACACAGTAAACTGCCTACAAATACGGTAAGCTGCATATATGGATTTATAATTTGTTATAAATGTATAAAATTTAGCCCCTGTTTGATTTTCATTACATTACATTACATTACATTCTATTTTTCTCTCTCCTATTTTCAACCACACAATCTTCCATAAAATAATATTACACGTAAATCGAAAATTTTTCTTTCTTTTTCAACCACTCATTTTTCAAAAAACACTATTCTATACATTAAATTTTTCCCGTAATGGGGGCCAAACAAGTGCTTATTTAATATTGAATTTCTTAAGTATTAAATGTTGTAATTCAATATTGTTTCCTTTTTTTTAATTGTATTTCCGAAAAAAAAAAGTGGTTATGAAATTGCTAATTTTTAAATGTGTTTTTTTGTTGAAAATAAAAATGATTTTTTATGTTATTTGTAAAAAAAAAAATTATTGTAATTTTATTAGCGTAATAAGAAGATTTATTATGCATTTTTATTTTTTGCATTTTGTGAAGAATTTTTTTTTATAGTGATTGACAAATATTCTTCCACACACGCATCATGCCAACAATATTTAAAAAGAAATTAGTATATATTCAAAAAAATATTATGGAGGCAATGCCTCCGTATTATGGAGTCCATAAATCCTCTGTATTATGGAGGCTTCATGGAGATAAAGCCTCCATAATATGGAGGCTCATGTGTGCTTGAGTCTCCGTAATTACGGAGGCTTCAACGTGTTTTTTTTTTTACTTTCTGTTTCCTTCATTAGCTCTTAATACAATAATTTAATTTCATTTAATCAACTTAATTTTTTAAATATTCTTAAAATAAAAATACATAAAATAATGGAGGCTTACTCTTTCTCCATTTTTACATGTTACAACCATACTTCTCTATTTCTCCACATTATCTTTTTCACCATTTTCTCACGCTATCAACGATGTTTTTTTAGAAAGTTTATTTTTGAGCACATAAGTAAGTTTAAATAAAAACATTACTTTTATATATGTACGTAAAATATATATAATTACCATTTGGGTGACCAAAAAATAATATCAATCAAAATATTTACGAACTGTTTAAATAATAATTTGTTGAGGGGGTTAATTCAAGAGCAAAAGTGTGAATTCCATAAATATATGATTGAAAATATGTTTGAAGAAAAATAAATTTTAAAAAATTAAGACAAAATATGTTAACAAATGAATATATTTATTTTTCGAAAAATGGATTTTTATTACAATTTCATTTTTATCATGAAATGATTCTAATCTTAATATGTTAGATTGTGTTTTAAAATGACATAATCTATCAAATATAATTTTTAAAATTAATTTTTATAAAGTAATATGTTTTTATGATTTTTTTTTTTGAAAGGTGAAATATAATAGTACTAAAAAATAGAAAATAATTAAATTTTTATTAATTTTATAAAATAATATGTTATTACTTTACTAAAAAAAAATTATAAAAACATATTACTTTATAAAAATTAATTTTAAAAATTATGTTTGATAGATTATGTAATTTTGAAGCACAATCTAATATATTAAGATTATATCATTTCAT